GAAGGAAGGAAGGAAGGAAGGAAGGAAGGAAGGAAGGAAGGAAGGAAAAAAAGAGCAAGGGAGGAAGGAAGGAAGAAAAAAAGGCAAAGGAGGGAAGGAAAGGAGGAGGAAAGGAAGGAAGGAAAAGAGCAAGGGAGGGAGGGAGGAAGAAAGGGGCAAAGGAGGGAGGGGAAAAAAGGAAGGAAGGAAGAAAAGGGCAAGAGAGGGAGAGAGGGAGGAAGAAGGAAAGAAAGGGGAGAGGAAGGAAGGAATTCTGTGCCCCCCAAAGTCATATTTCCACCCCATTCAGTAGGCTTTGGGTCCCACTCCTCCCAGGGCCTCAGGAGAAGGCAGCCCAGGGTCCAACCTTGCCAAAACCAGGAGCCAGGATGTCCTTACCTGGTTTCCTTGGATAAGGGCCAGTGGTGGCCTTTGCGGGCCTGGTGGTTCTCTCCGGCGGGGAATCAAAGTAATCCAACAGATCGAGTTCGCCTGCTCGAGAAATCAAGGAGACCGATGGAAGAGCTACTTACTGCGGGAAACACCGGACACCCTCCCCCACTTTCCTTTCTGCAACGTAACCCACCCACCTGTCTTTTATTTCATTGTGCATCATGACATCATTCACACACACACCCCAAAAGGCGCAACGCCCTTGTGCCCTTTTATCCTCCCAATAGCCCTTCCCAGGTAGGCCACTGTCATCTTCTTTTCATGACCCCCATAATCCCTTGCGATGTGGAGTCTGAGCAACTCAATGGAGCTGAGTATTTACTGGCCGGATGCCCTTCTTGTTGCCAGAGCGGGGTTTTGTTCAGCAGATATATTCTCATAGTGCCCAGAGAGAGAGAAATATCTGCCTCTACCTAGAATCAAACTCCCAGCCTCCTGACTGTGAGGCGACAGCTCCACCTCTAGGCCACCGCACCACCCCCAGGTAGAGCCACTGTCAGGGTTACAAAAGGCAACGTCCCGTTAAAGGACAAATACCGGGGATATCCCAAATGAAATGGGTCAGCTTGTACTTGCAACTTCCTGGATTGCGGTTTGACAAGAAATGTCGGGGGGAGCCCAGAAAATGACTCTAGCTTACCATAAAGCCGGGAGTCACAATGGCTAGAGGGGATGGGATTTGTAGTGGGAGAACACCCGCTGCTGTTTTAAAAGCTTAAGAAAGCTAACAGCTCACCTGTGCCACCTGAGGTCTTCCTGGGCGGCTTGTGAGTAGCTGGGAGAGATAAAAAAAAAAGACAGAGTAAATGGCATTTTTGTTCCACCGCGATGCTAAACCAGCCTGAGCTGACCCTGTACTCTTAGCTGGGTTTACTCCCAAGTAAGACATACACATCCTTGGAGTTCGGCGAGACTACATCTAAAGAGCAGGGCCACCTTGAACTGAAGTTAAAAGTTTGAGGAAACAAAAGTTGTAGCCGTTAAAACTTTAAATTAAAGTTGACATTCGAGTTTTGAACTTTGGATGCTTGCAGAAGGAGAACGTGGAATTTCTATGCCGAGCTCTAACTTAAGTTTTCATCCATTGGTGTCATGACCTTGTTGGAGTCTGATTCTGAGGGGGAGATTGAGGAGCTGACCGGGAGTGGGAGTGGGGCTCCGGTGGCTGTGGAAGAAACGGGGGAAGGGCACAGTCCGGCTGGGCCTTCAGAGGAAGACCCAGGGCCACCCCCTCTTCATCCTAGGGCACGCAGGGAGGAACGGAGAAGGGAGCAACGTGGCTTACGGGGGAGAAAAGGGCCTTGATCCCTTTCATTAGCTGCAGCTGGGAGAACAGGATATCAGAAGGGCGTTTGCACACAGCACCTTGCTGGAAGCAAAGCGTGCATTATCTTTGTCGAGGCTTAACTGGGTTTTGGCATCCTCCCAACTGTGTGTGCTTCGTTATCTTTCGGAAGTCTCCAATTTATCATCCCGGCCTGTCTTGTTAATTACTTCAGCATGGTTTGCGTTGGTTTTTTAATTTCTAATTTATCTTTACTTTGGGTTCGGAATGCCTTTCTTAGACTGTTTTTGGGAAGAGTTTGATCTTCAACCAAGGATAACTGGACATTGGGGGCCAAGTTGGAGGCATTAAAGGGAATTTATCTACTTTGGTGACTTTGTTATTTTTGTGCCACGCCCCTTTGGGTCATCATAGTTGGGCTTTTAGTAAGAGAATGAGGGTTTCAAACCCGGGTCGGTCAGCTTTCCACCAGCAAGCTCACTTCTTCCCTGCTGAGCATCACATCAGCCCCTCCGATTCCTAATCCACAGCCGATATCCGCTCTGCTCTGCCCACAACATCCACCAGGCACATACTTACGTCTCTTCGTCGGGACAAAGTCATCCAGTGCATCTGATAATTCAAAGTCCGAGTCATCAGCGTATCCTGAGGACCAAAACAGATAAAACCAACATATTAGTAAAGTTCTCCTAAACAGCTGTTCAAAACCCAACGGGACATTTTCCAAAACGTTACCATTTGGTGGCTAGGACAAGAATGAAAACAGAAGCCGCCTCAACTTACAACCACAGTTGGAACGCAAGAACTCCTGCTGCTAAGTGAGACAGTTGTAAAGTGAGCTTTGGCCTTTCTACAACCTTTCTCGCCATCGTTGCAAAGTGAATCGCTGCAGTTGTTCAGTTAGAAACACCATCGTTAAGCGAACCGGGCTTCCCTGTGGACTTTGCTGGCTATACGGTCACAAAAGAGGATCACGTGAAGGCCCTCCCCCCCCCCCGGGGACACTGCAACCGTCATAAATGTGAGTCAGTTGCCATGCGTCCAAATTTTGTGAGGCTGCCGCAACGATCGTGAGTGTGAAGAACACTTGTGTGAAGTGCCGCCGTAGCTTCAGACGGTCACTAAAGGACTCGCTGTATGTTTGAGGACTCCCTGTACGATTCTTTGCAATAGTAGCAATTAAAAAATAAATAAAACTTAAAAGCCTAGTCAAACAGAATGGAAGGTTGCATTTATAGTCACGTCTGATGATTTGATCTCCTGCTTTTTCCCCATCTGCCCCTCTCCTCTTGCCTTTGTGCTTTGAATAAGGGCCGCCAAAACTATTTCAGCTCAAAGTGATGCAGTTCAAAGGCTGCTTTTCACTCAAGGCAATGAGATGTCTAGGG